TATTTTCTTAGCTCCTCTACTTGCTGGTTGACCAACTGTCGTTCCTGATGTTAATATGAGATATTATTTTTTCATTATCACATATATTTTTGTTATTATCCCATTCATGAGGGTAGCCCTGCTTTTAGAAAATTATATCTGTTCCCTTGGAAGAATGCTTTTATTTTGACTACTGATACAACAAAAGCCTCTTCCTTGCACCCTACGTCAAGTTCTTTCAATGGATGATTAATTGTATGAGAGCATGGAGGCTGGATCACTGTGTCGACACACCTAGCACGTGAACACCAACAGAAGAGATGATTGTGGAGTCATTGTTCAACTGAGCTTCGGATTAAATGGTGCCGAGAACACGCCCTAGGACGTGGTGAGAACACGCCCTAGGGCTGCTGAGGACACCCCCTAGGGCGTACCGAGAACACCCCCTAGGGCGTGCTGAGAACCCCCCCCTAGGGCGTGCTGAGAACACCCTCTAGGTCATGGTGAGTTCCGGAAGGATACGGAGGGATAGAGGACGCTTCAATGCACGAGGAAGAGAAGAGGTCTCTCCTTTTTCTTTACGAGAGATGAGGAGATAGCTGTCTCTCCTCTCTCTCTCTCTCTCTCTCTCTCTCTCATACATACATGGTAGAAAGGAGATGAGAAGGGAGAAAGGGGAAAATGGAAAGGAAGAGAGGGTCAATTTGCCTCCGTCAACGTTTGTTTAGACAGCGGCTCGCTAAATAAACCCCCCCCCAATCACCACACACCCCAACCACCACACCCCCAACCACCACACCCCAACCACCACACCCCAACCACCACACCCCTAACCACCACACCCCAACCACCAGACCCCCCCAACCACCAGACCCCCAACCACCACACCCCAACCACCACACCCCAAACCACCACACTCCCAACCACCACACCCCAACACTACACCCCAACCACCCACACCCCAACCACCACACCCCCAACCACCACACCCCCAACCACCACACCCCAACCACCAGACCCCCAACCACCAGACCCCCAACCACCAGACCCCAACCACCACACCCCAACCACTACACCCCAACCACCACACCCCCAACCACCACAAAACCCCATCCACCACACCCCAACCACCACACCCCAAACCACCACACCCCAACCACCACATCCCCAACCACCACACCCCCAACCACCACACCCCAACCACCACACCCCAACCACCACACCCCAACCACCAGACCCCGACCACCAGACCCCAACCACCACACCACAACCACCACACCCCCAACCACCACATCCCAACCACCACACCCCAACCACCACCACACCCCAATCACCACCACACCCAACCACCACATCCCAACCACCACACCCCCAACCACCACACCCAATCACCACACACCCAACCACCACACCCCCAACCACAATATTCCAATCACTACACCCCCAACCACCACACTCCCAACCACCACACCCCATAACCACCACACCCTCCATCCACCACACTCTCTCAACCACCACACCCCAACCACCACACCCCAACCACCACACCCCCAACCACCACACTCAACCACCACACCCCCAACCACCAGACCCCCGACCACCAGACCCCAACCACCACACACAACCACCACACCCCCCCAACCACCACAATCCCAACCACCACACCCCGAACCACCACACCCCAATCACCACACACCCCAACCACCACACCCCAACCACAATATTCCAATCACTACACCCCAACCACCACACGCCCAACACCACACCCCATAACCACCACACCCTCCATCCACCACACCCCAACCACCATACCCCAACCACCACACCCCCAACCACCACACCGTCAACCACCACACCTCCAACCACCACACCCCCATGCACACACCCCCAACCACCACACCGCCAACCACCACACCCCCAATCACCACACCGCCAACCACACACCCCAACCACCATACCCCAGCCACCACACCCCCAACCACCACACCGCCAACCACCACACCCCCAACCACCACACCCCGAACCACCACCCCCATGCACCACACCCCATGCACCACACCCAAACCACTACACTCCAACCTCTACACCCTCAACCACCACTCCTCAGCCACACATCCAACCACACCCCATGCACCACACATCCAACCACACCCCATGCACCACACCCCAACCACCACATCTCCAATCCCCACACACCCCAACCACCACACCTCAACCACCACACCCCAACCACCACACCTAACCACCACACCCCAACCACCAAGTCCCCAACCACCACACTTCCAACCACCAATCCCCAACAACCACACCCCAACCATCACACCCTAACAACCACACCCCCAACTCCCACACCCCAACCACCACACCCCCAATCACCACCCACACCGCTAACCCCCACACCCCAACCACTACACCCCATGCACCACACCCCAACAACCACTAAACGAACTGACCACACCCCCACCTTACTCATTCCCCTCAACCCCTCCTCACTCAATACACGTAACACCAACCTCTCCCCTCTCCCTCTGCTCGGTAGCAACCATCCCCTCCCATACCCCTCTCTCCCTCCCCTCCCACCCTTCACTCCAACCCTCCTCTCCTGTTCCCAGATTGTGCAATATTTTCCCAAAGCGGATGTACTGTAATACGACTTGCAGATATAGCAGCCTGCATCTATTACGATCTACCGTTATAGCAGACTACCTATTATGAACTCCGGTTATATTAGACTGTCTATTATGCTCTACAGTTATAACTATCTATTATGAATCATTTATATTAGACTATTATCATATATTATCTACTGGAGGTTACCTGGAGGTTATTCCGGGGATCAACGCCCCCGCGGCCCGGTCCACGACCAGGCCTCCCGATGGATCAGGGCCTGATCAACTAGGCTGTTACTGCTGGCCGCACGCAGTCCGACGTACGAGCCACAGCCCGGCTGATCCGGCACTGACTTTAGGTATCTGTCCAGCTCTCTCTTGAAGGCAGCCAGGGGTTTATTGGCAATTCCCCTAATGCTTGATGGGAGGCTGTTGAACAGTTTTGGGCCCCGGACACTTATGGTGTTTTCTCTTAGTGTACCAATGGCGCCCCTACTTTTTATGGCGGCATTTTGCATCGCCTGCCCAGTCTTTTACTTTCGTAGGGAGTGATTTCTGTGTGCAGATTTGGGACCATTCCTTCCAAGATTTTCCAAGTGTAGATTATGATATATTTTCTCCCTCCTGCTTCCAACGAGTACAAGTCAAGTGCTTCCAAGCGTTCCCAGTAGTTAAGGTGCTTGACAGAACTTATACGTGCAGTAAAGGATCTCTGTACACTCTCTAGATCTGCGATTTCACCTGCTTTGTATGGAGATGTTAATGTACAGCAGTATTCCAGCCTAGAGAGAACAAGTGATTTGAAAAGGATCATCATGGGCTTGGCATCTCTCGTTTTGAAAGTTCTCATTATCCATCCTATCATTTTCTTTGCACGTGCGATCGTGGCACTGTTGTGATCCTTGAAAGTGAGATCCTCAGACATTACTACTCCCAGGTCCCTTACATTATTTTTCCGCTCTATTGTATGGCCGGAGTCAGTAGTATACTCTGTTCTAGTTATTATCTCCTCCAGTTTTCCATAACGGAGTAGTTGGAATTTGTCCTCATTGAACATCATATTGTTTACCGTTGCCCACTGGAAACTTTGTTTATATCTTCTGGAGGTTAACCGCGTCCTCAGCAGATGACAGCCTCATGCAGATCCTAGAATCATCCGCAAAGGATGATACGGTGCTGTGGTGTATATACAACCACAATGACTAGGTTTTGGTTCTCGATCTTTATTGATAGAACTTCAACTACCTCATTTGTGGTGTTCAGCAACTCCGTGCAGATAAGGGACTCTTTGACATACAGGCCAACCCCCCCTTGTTGCCTGTTTTTTCTGTCGCATCTAAAAAGGTTGTAACCACTTATCCATATTTCACTGTCAAAGTGATCTTTTGTGTGAGTCTCTGTGAAGGCTGCAAACATTGCATTAGACTCCACTAGAAGTCCACTGATAAAAGATATTTTGTTGTTGGTGGATGGCTTAAGGCCCTGTATATTAGCAAATATGAACGAGGTTGTATTCTGTGTTTGTTGGGGGGATTTTGTATTGGACATCAGTAGTTGTAATAATTCTGGAGGGCCATGGGTGGCCACTGGCTGCACCTCCAGTCCAACAAGGCTCCAAGGTGGTGGACTATTTTTATTTCCTTCCATTTTCTTTTTTCGTTTTCCTGCACTAAAAAATCACCTTGGAGTTGGTGTTTCGTAGCTACTATTGTTTGTCCTGTGGGGTCTGTGCCTCCTGGTCCCTTTTAGATGGTATGCAGGGCATTCGATGTTGTAACACTGCTTCTGGAGGACCGAGGAGTGGCACATTTTTGGATTGAAGAAAAATAATTGTATATGACCCGAAGATATGTAAGAGAATCTACATTGTGATTTATGTATGAAAGAAATTATTTTAAATCGAGGGTCTTACAAAAGTCGTGAGACGTAAGTGACAGCCAAGACTGCCTGTTATAACACTCTCTTTTGGTATACAATAGCTGTCAATTATATATATATATATATATATATATATATATATATATATATATATATATATATATATATATATATACATATCATACATATATATATATATATATAATATATATATATATATATATATATATATATATATATATATATATATATATATATATATATATATATATATATATATATATATATATATATATATATATTTATATTTATTATCACACTGGCCGATTCCCACCAAGGCAGGGTGGCCCGAAAAAGAAAAACTTTCACCATCATTCACTCCATCACTGTCTTGCCAGAAGGGTGCTTTACACTACAGTTTTTAAACTGCAACATTAACACGAAAGAGAGAAAGGAAGAGCTTTCTTCTAAAGACATATTATTTGTATGAAAATCAGTAAAAAAAAAGAGCTTCATGCTTGTGAAATCACTCACTTTTGTCAAGGTCGTCCTTGGGGCCTGAGAGGGAGGTGAGGTGGGCCTCGGGGAAGGGGGGGCAGAGGGAGCTGAGCTGTTGTACGTGGGGGGACGTCAGAGGGGGGTGGAGCGACGCGCCTCCCGCCAAAGAGCTGTTGGAGGAGGAGGTATTGGAGGAGGAGATGGAAGTCGAGGGCGAACCACCAACACCAACAAGACCTCCTCCACTTCCTCCACTTCCGACTGGAATTGTACTGTCTCCTCCTCCACCTCCACCACCCCCTCCTTCACCTCCTCCTCCACCACCTCCTCCTCCTCCTCCTCCTCCTCCTCCTCCTCCACTCTCAATATATGCCGTCTCTTCCTTCAGGTAATCTTCGTCCTTGACGTACTTGACGTAGCTATCCTTGTATTGAAGTACTCCTCGTCCTTGTACTTGTCATAGTCGTCCTTGAGTCCGCTTTCCTCCTTCACCACTACAGAGTCTCCCATCATGTACTCTGAAACAAGCAGACAGACAGACATGAAACTCAGTGGCGTCACAGAGGAACTCACAAAGTCAAACACATAAATGATAATTTTTTTTAAATTAGATCGTCATTTAGTTAGTTAATTAATCAGGTAGGTAGTTAGTCAATAAGATACACAAATAGCCCGCACTACTATTACGACTACCACTCCATTACTATTATTGCTACTACCACTACTCTTGCCTTTTTCTTATAAAACTACTTGTCCACTTTACTAGTTACTACTTCCTCCATATACACTAATATTTCTCTTTCTGCCTCCCTGTTCCTCCATTATATTTAATATATATATATATACATATATAATATATTTATTTTATATATATATATATATTGATATTATATATATATAATATATATATATATATATATATATATATATATATATATATATATATATATATATATATATATATATGTCATGAATAATTTTGAAATTTTAACTTGAATAATAAAATATTTTTACATGAGTAGAGTTGAAGAATTTAGATGCAAACAGAAGTGTAAAGTATATGGAAACTCATAATTCCCGTTGTTGAGCTTCTCAGTAGGAACCCAAGATGCAACAGGCATTTCCCTGTCTGGATCGCCATACTGAAGCACTGGAAAGAGAAAAGTTGCAACCCTCGGGGTCTCGGGCGGTTTCGATGAACCTGTAATGCAGCTCTCTGAGAAAAGCTCTGACACGCTTTCCCTATGGGCCAAGGATCTTTGATCCTTTAAGGACGATGTGGTACTGAAGGCCATGCTCTTGTACTTGTTAAGCTTGTATTTTCCCTGTAATCAGCAGCACCGGCCTGCTGTCCAGCACTCATTAGGATGTAGGTGTCGGCCAGGGTAGATGCTAAATATAGTTGTACACCAACAGTCTACTGTTCCTCCAGAAGTATAATGTGACCTATCAGGGTGGCTGGTGGGTGTATCCTGGATGTTGGGTAGTGAAAAACCAGGGTTGACTTTACTGTGTCTAACATGCCAACTTTTGAGACCTGAACCATTCATACCATGCAGACCATACTTGTCGACTACTACTTTGCTGCAAATACACCTGTGCTCAGTGTGAATAAGTGCACCAAGGCGCCAAGCCACTGCAGTATGATGGGTCTGCTGGTCCAGGATTGTCCCGGTCACAGAGATGGGAACTGTTAATAGAAAGGCGCAAAAGTGATTAGCACTCACAGCTACAAGGCTAGTTTTCTCATCTGCAAAGTTTGCACTCAATAGCATAGCTACAGTAGCCTTTTCCACGATGGGGTTGTCCCAACTGGACTGATTGTAAGCCGAAGTTCCAGCTATTCTCGTTATCTGTGCTGAAAGATTAACCCACATGCTGGTGCCACTGGTGAGGGTCATCTACCCCTGCTGGACTGCATATATGTTCTCGTAGAATTCCCTTCACCAGTTCGCTGGATTCATTGGAGGAGGATAAGAAATTTGGCAAGGCAATCAGAGAAGCTGTACGTATGCCCAGTCCACTTAATCTGATTGGAAGTGTCTTGCTCCTACTGCCATTCATTCGGGAAAAAGCTTAGGACTTCTTCTAGCATGGACTTTAGGAGGTCGCCGTACTGTTCCAGTCTGGGGCTAACTAAGGCTGGAGAGAATCGTAAAACATAAGTAAGGTTATGATGGGACAGGCACCTGGTGAGGGGATAGAAGCCATCCGGGCCGTCAGTGTCGCTAATTTCCACCCGCTTGAGGCCAAAGATTTATTTTTCCAAAAATCTCACCAATGGCATTAGAAACAGGTGGGGCACCAAGGAGAGTTTAGTAAGTGAGAATAACGACTCTGACTCCTTGCTGGACAACTTGATACATTTGGTGGTGCGTTAACAGTAGATCACTAATTAACATTTCGAAAGTTTTAAGAGAAACATGTATTCTCTCTTCTTCTTCTTTAATAATTCTCAGGTCATCTAGAATTGATTCTGTGGTAAACGCTAGTTTGCCATCGTCCAAAAACCAGATAGTGACTTCGCTGCTAAGGT